CTTTTTTCTTTCTTTMTTTATTTATTTACAACATTTCTACCCTGGCCTTCTCAACCTCCAAATGGGGGTGGGGGGGGGGGGGACTCAGAGCAACAATTCGATGTCGCAATATCACAAAATAACAACCATATAAAACCATAAAAACACAATAGATTGAAACAATAACATTAAATATTGGACTATAATAAAATAATATTTTTTTAAAAGCAGTAACATTAATTATACAATCATAATTATACAAGACTAACTGCTATCTCGCTTTCTGCTGAACGGATCCAACTTTCCCATCCAAAATTCCCGGCTGTTGGAGAGGTCCCATTGGAGCAACCTTGGCCCCCAAACCAGCTCTCCATTCGCCTTTGCTTCTTTCCATCTCTCTCTCCTCCCCCTTTCCCCGGCTCCATTGCAAAAGGCTCCCCAGCTGTGTGAGTTTTGGCTGCCCTCGACTGTTTCCAAACAAGAGCTTTTTTGCATATTAGGGATATAGATTTCCCTGCCACGGGAGGGGAGTCCAGCAGCAAACCCCTCTCCGGGCTCGCATACAAAAGAAGTGCTGCGCCAACAGACTTTCTGCCTTTTTGGGGAGGGGGACATTTCTCTTTTTCCGTCTTCGATCAGCTGACGCAGAGAAAGAGGAGGCAATGAAGCCCCTTCCGAGATCCCCGGCTGCTTTGTTTTGGAAAGGCAGGCAAAGAGGCAACGGAAGGCGCAAGGACTCCAAATCCGAGGCTCTTCGGCTTCCTTCCTTGGGAAGTTTGAGGCAGGAAAACAACCCAAATCGGGACCGAAGCTCCACATCTATGCCTTGGAAGGGACAAAGACCTTCAAGAAGGGGGGGTGGGGTGGATAAATCTGAAGAAAAATACAAGATTCAATGTCTTGCTATAATCACTGGGTTGTTGTAGGTTTTCCATAGCCGGTTGGCTGGATGGCCATCTGCCAGGAGGGTTTTGATTGTGAATGAATAGTATTCCATTGTCATACTATGTATGACTTTATCCAAAGTGGGGCAAACCAAAACTACTGTGAAGAGGAAGACTTTCCTTTCCCTTCAAAACCTTTAAACCGCGGATACCGGGTCCCCACCGGGATTCGATATCAGCGGCTCAACCGATTGGTTCCGAAGGAATTTATTCAAAGTGGGGCAAGCCAAAACTACTATGAAGAGGAAGATTTTCCTTACCCTTCAAAACCTTTAACCCGCGGATACCGGGATCCCACTGGGATTCGATATCCGCAGCTCTACCAATTGGCTCCGAAGGACTTGATTCAAAGTGGGGCAAACCAAAACTACTACTACGAAGACTTTCCTTTCCCTTCAAAACCTTTAAACCGTGGATACCGGGACCCCACCGGGATTCGATATCCACGGCTCAACCGATCAGTTCCGAAGGAATTTATTCAAAGTGGGGCAAACCAAAACTAATATGAAGAGGAAGACGTTCCTTACACTTCAAAACCTTTAAACCGCGGATACCGGGATCCCACCGGGATTCGATATCCGCAGCTCTACCGATTGGCTCCGAAGGACTTGATTCAAAGTGGGGCAAACCAAAACTACTACTACGAAGACTTTCCTTTCCCTTCAAAACCTTTAAACCGCGGATACCGGGACCCCACCGGGATTCGATATCCACGGCTCAACCGATCGGTTCTGAAGGAATTTGATCAAAGTGGGGCAAACCAAAACTACTATGAAGAAGATGACTTTTCTTTCCCTTCAAAACCTTTAAATCGTGGGTAACGGGACCCCACCGGGATTCGCTATCCACTACTCAACCGATCGGCTCCGAAGGACTTTATTCAAAGTGGGGCAAACCAAAACTAATATGAAGAGGAAAACTTTTCTTAGCCTTCAAAACCTTTAAACCGTGGATACCGGGGCCCCACCTGGATTCGATATCCGCGACTTAACCGATCAGCTCCAAAGGACTTTATTCAAAGTGGGGCAAACCAAAACTAATATGAAGAGGAAAACTTTCCTTACCCTTCAAAACCTTTAAATCGTGGATATCGGGACCCCACCGGGATTCGATATCCACTACTCAACCGATCAGCTCCGAAGGACTTTATTCAAAGTAGGGCAAACCAAAACTACTATGAAGAGGAAGACTTTCCTTTCCCTTCAAAACCTTTAAACCGCAGATACCAAGACCCCGTCTGGATTCAATATCCGCGAATCAACCAATCGGCTCCAAAGGACTTTATTCAAAATGGGGCAAACCAAAACTACTATGAAGAGGAAGACTTTCCTTTCCCTTCAAAACCTTTAAACCACGGATACCGGGACCCCACCGGGATTCGATATCCGCGGCTCAACCGATCGGCTCCGAATCAACGCCATCTTATTCCAATGTAACATATGGAGGATACATTCCCAAACGTTGTTGTTGTTGGGTTGCTGTGAGTTTTCCGGGCTGTCTAGCCATGTTTCAGAAGCATTCTCTCCTGACGTTTCGCCTGCATCTACGACAAGCCTTCCTCAGAGGTTGGAAGGTCTGCTGGCAACTAGGCAAGTGGGATTTATATATCTGTGGAATGATGTCCAGGGTGGGACAAAGGACTCTTGCCTGTTTGCTTCCCCCAGGCAGGAAGCAGCCAGGCTTTGAAGCTGCAAGGCTATTCAGTGCTAATCACGGTGGCCAATTGCAACATTTGAAACATTCACATAGATTCCAATTTATCCTGGAAATAGGTCTGTGTCCAATGTTAGTATTCACGGTGAGTGGGTTGCTGTGAGTTTTCCGGGATGTATGGCCATGTTCCAGAAGCATTCTCTCCTGACGTTTCGCCCACATCTGCTTGAGGGATCCTTTGTTGGGAGGTGATAACCTCTGAGGGTGCCTGCCATAGATGTGGGTGAAACGTCAGGAGATAATACTTCTGGAACACGGCGAGACAGCCTGGAAAACTCACAACAACCAAAACATTTAATGGCCTAGCAGTTTCAAGGTCTGAGTTCTTACTGCCTGGGGGAATCCTTTGTTGAAAGTTGATGAGCTGGCCCCAACCTCACAACCCCTGAGGGCGCCTGCCATAGATGTGGGTGAAATGTCAGGAGAGAATGCTTCTGGAACAATATCCAGATAGCAAAGAAAACTCACAACAACCCGAGACAGCCCAGAAAACTTACAACAACTCAAGCATTCAATGGCCTAGCAGTGTCAAGCTCTGGTTTCTCACTGCCTGTGGGAATCCTTTGTTGGGAGGTGATGAGCTGGCCCCGATCTCACAACTTTTGAGGCTGCCTGCCATAGATGCAGGCAAAACGTCAGGAGATAATACTTCTGGAACATGGCGAGACAGCCTGGAAAACTCACAACAACACAAGACAGCTGAGAAAACACACAATAACTCAAGCATTTAATGGCCTAGCAGTTTCAAAGTTTGGCTTCTTACTGCCTGGGGGAATCCTTTGTTGGGCGGTGATGAGCTGGACGGACCTCACAACTTCTGAGGGCGCCTGCCGTAGATGCAGGCAAAACGTCAGGAGATAATGCTTCTCATACATGGCCAGATAGTGAAGAAAACTCACAACAACCCAATACAGCCGAGAAAACGCACAACCCAAGCATTTAATGGCCTAGCGGTTTCAAGGTCTGGCTTCTTACTGCCAGGGGGAATCCTTTGTTGGGAGGTGATGAACTGGCCCCGATCTCACAACTCTAGCCATAGAGGCAGGCGAAACATCAGGAGAGAATGTTTCTCAAACATGACCAGACAGCCCAGAAAATGCACAACAACTGAAGCATTTAATGGCCTAGCAGTTTCAAAGTCTGGTTTCTTACTGCCTGGGGGAATCCTTTATTGGGAGGTGACGAGCTGTCCCCGACCCTACAACTACCTACCATAGATGTAGGCAAAATATCGGAAGATAATACTTCTGAAACATGGCGAGACAGCCCGAAAAACTCACAACCTAACCATTAATGGCCTAGCAATTTCAAAGTCTGGCTTCTTACTGACTGGCGGAATCCTTTATTGGGAGGTGATGAGCTGTCCCCGACCCTACAACTTCTGAGGCTGCCTGCCACAGATGCAGGCAAAACGTCAGGAGATAATACTTCTGGAACATGGCGAGACAGCCCGGAAAACTCACAACCTAAGCATTTAATGGCCTAGCAATTTCAAAGTCTGGCTTCTTACTGCTTGGGGGAATCCTTTGTTGGGACGTGATGAGCTGTCCCCGACCCTACAACTTCTGAAGCTGCCTGTCAGGAGATAATACTTCTGGAACATGGCGAGACAGCCCGGAAAACTCACAACCCAAACATTGAATGGCCTAGCAGTTTCAAGGTCTGGCTTCTTACTGCCAGGGAGGAATCCTTTGTTGGGAGGTGATAAACTGGCCCCGATCTCACAACTATTGAGGGCTCTAGCTGGACTGACCTCGCAACTTCCGAGGGCGCCTGCCGTAGATGCAGGCAAAACGTCAGAAGAGAATGCTGCTGGAACAATGGAATACAGCCCGGAAAAGTCACGACAACCCAAACCAAGTTTCTCCAAAGCTGGTCGGTTCCATTCCAGGGTGGAATCCAGAAGTCCCGGGTGGAAACGGGGGAAAGGACCAGCTTGGGAGTTGGAAAGAGTGTCCAAATGGTCAAGGAAAGGAAAATATCTCGGCGAGGACAACGGACAGAAAAATATCTCGGCGAGGACAACGGACAAAAAAATATCTCAGCGAGGACAACGGACAGCGTGTTGTTTCCCTTTTAATATATCTATAGGAGGATGTGGAAGTTGGCAAGGGTTGGAGAGCCTCAAAGAAGGTCTTGGAAGGCGTCCAAAGCTTATGGGTTGGTGTCAAAGGGGACGTTCTTCTTCTAGGAGGGATCCAAACAGGATCTTGCCCCAAATTTTTGGAGACACGAAGCCCCAACGCATTAGAAGCCATGTACGAAAACCCAGTTGGGTTTGTTTTGGTTGCTCTCCAAAGAAGAACCGGAGCAGCCACCTCTTTGCCGTGCCCAAAACAAGACCCAAAATGCTCCAAGCCTTACCTTGGGAAGCTCTAGTTCGCCTCTGCAGATGTCCGGAGGAAGGAGAAGAAGAGGAGGGAAAGGGTTGCTTGTGCCAAGGAAGACGGGAAGGGTCTCTGTGCCAAAACAACAAAAAAATATCACAAAAACAAGACTTTAGAGGCAAATCCCAAGGCGCGAAAGAGGCGCAAAAGGTGCGGACAGTTGAGGAAGGGTCTCCCAGGCCGGGAAAGAGAGAAGGGAAAAGAAAGGGAAGGAGGTGGAGAAGGAGGGGAAAGAAGGAGGAAAAGCTTACAAACAAAGCCACCGTGCCAAGCCAAAGCCCTCGCTCGAGTCGACGCCTTCAGCCCCGGCCCCTCGGCCAATCTCCGCCGTGCGCCTTGACGCGCCGCTCCGCCTCTTTGGAAGGATGGATGGGTGGTTGGGGGGGAAAAAGGGGGGTTGGAAGGAAGGATAAGGGCCCTCCCCACCCAAGGAGACCCCCAGGAAGGAGGAGAAGCCGAGGGGAAGGGAGCCAAAGCAGTGCCAAGGAGGGAAAAGGAGAAGAGAGCTGGAGACAAGGAAGGAAAAGGGAAGCAAATGGGTGCCTAAGGGGGTTGGCTCTTGGAAAGGGGAGAAAGGGGAGGGGGCTACAGCTTCAAGGAAAGACTTGAATGCGCCCCCCAAAAGGAGGGGAGAGCCAAGAAGGACTTGCTTTGGAGAGGGAGAAAGAGCTCTCAGCTCCACCCAGTGAAGTGTGTGTGTTGGAATGGGTACATCCTGTATGTGTGTGTGTGTGTGTGTAGGTTCTGTAGGGTTGTTCTGAAGTTGAATCTGTACGCAAGTCAGAACAGGGACATTTTCAGTGGCAAACCAAAACTACTATGAAGGGGAAGACTTTCCTTTCCGTTCAAAACCTTTAAACTGCGGATATCGGGACCCCACCGGGATTCGATATCCGCGGCTCAACCGATCGGCTCCAAATCAACGCCATCTTCTTCCAATGTATCATATGGAGGATACGTTCCCAAATGTTGGGTACATCCTATGTGTGTATGTGTATACACACACACACACACACACACACAGGCAGTGCCCAAGTTACCAGCAAGAGGGGTTCTGTAGGGTTCTTCTGAAGTTGAATCTGTACGTAAGTCAGAACAGGGACATTTTCAGTGGCAAACCAAAACTACTATGAAGGGGAAGACTTTCCTTTCCGTTCAAAACCTTTAAACTGCGGATATCGGGACCCCACCGGGATTCGATATCCGCGGCTCAACCGATCGGCTCCAAATCAACGCCATCTTCTTCCAATGTATCATATGGAGGATACGTTCCCAAATGTTGGGTACATCCTATGTGTGTATGTGTATACACACACACACACACACACACACACAGGCAGTGCCCAAGTTACCAGCAAGAGGGGTTCTGTAGGGTTCTTCTGAAGTTGAATCTGTACGTAAGTCAGAACAGGGACATTTTCAGTGGCAAACCAAAACTACTATGAAGGCATAGACTTTCCCTTCAAAACCTTTAAACCGCGGATATCGGGACCCTACCAGGATTCTATATCCGCGGCTCAACCAAAAGGGGAGAAAGGGGAGAGGGCTACAGCTTCAAGGAAAGACTTGAATGCGCCCCCCAAAAGGAGGGGAGAGCCAAGAAGGACTTGCTTTGGAGAGGGAGAAAGAGCTCTCAGCTCCACCCAGTGAAGTGTGTGCGTTGGAATGGGTACATCCTATATATGTGTGTGCGTGTGTGTGTGTGTGTGTATATATACAGGCAGTGGCCAAGTTACCAGCAAGAGGGTTGTTCTGAAGTTGAATCTGTACGTAAGGCAGAACTGGGATATTTGCAGTGGCAAACCAAAACTACTATGAAGAGGAAGAGTTTCCCTTCAAAACCTTTAAACCGCGGATATCGGGACCCCACCGGGATTCGATAACCGCGGCTCAACCGATCGGCTCCAATTCAACGCAATCTTATTCCAATGTATAATAAGGAGGATACATTCCCAAATGATGGAAAGGGGAGAAAGGGGAGGGGGCTACAGCTTCAAGGAAAGAGGGCGAAAAGACTTGAGTGAGCCCCCCAAAAGGAGGGGAGAGCCAAGGAGGACTTGCTTTGGAGAAGGAGAAAGAGCTCTCAGCTCCACCCAGTGAAGTGTGTGTGTTGGAACGGGTACATCCTATATATGTGTGTGTGTGTGTATATATATATATATATTTATATATATACAGGCAGTGCCCAAGTTACCAGCAAGAGGGTTGTTCTGAAGTTGAATCTGTACGTAAGGCAGAACAGGGATATTTGCAATGGCAAACCAAAACTACTATGAAGGGGAAGAGTTTCCCTTCAAAACCTTTAAACCGCGGATATCGGGGGCCCACTGGGATTCGATACCCGCGGCTCAACCGATCGGCTCCAAATCAACGCCATCTTATTCCAATGTATCCATCTGTATGTAAGTCAGAACAGGGACATTTGCAGTGGCAAACCAAAACTACTATGAAGGGGAAGACTTTTCCTTCAAAACCTTTAAACTGCAGATATCGGGACCCCACCGGGATTCGATATCCACGGCTCAACTGATCGGCTCCAAATCAACGCCATCTTATTCCAATGTATCATATGGAGGATACATTCCCAAATGTTGGGTACATCCTATGTGTGTATGTATATAGATACATGCAGGCAGTGCCCAAGTTACCAGCAAGAGGGGTTCGGTAGGGTTGTTCTGAAGTTGAATCTGTACGTAACTCAGAACAGGGATATTTTCAGTGGCAAACCAAAACTACTATGAAGGGGAAGACTTTCCCTTCAAAACCTTTAAACCGCGGATATCGGGACCCCACCAGGATTCTATATCCGCGGCTCAACCGAAAGGGGAGAAAGGGGAGAAAAGGAAGGGGGCTACAGCTTCCAGGAAAGAGGGCGAAAAGACTTGAATGCACCCCCCAAAAGGAGGGGAGAGCCAAGGAGGACTTGCTTTGGAGAGGGAGAAAGAGCTCTCAGCTCCACCCAGTGAAGTGTGTGTGTTGGAATGGGTACATCCTATAAGTGTTTGTTTGTTTGTGTGTGTGTGGAGATATATATATATATATATAGGCAGTGCCCAAGTTACCAGCAAGAGGGGTTCTGTAGGGTTGTTCTGAAGTTGAATCCGTACGTAAGTCCGAACAGGGACATTTTCAGTGGTAAACCAAAACTACTATGATGATGAAGACTTTCCTTTCCCTTCAATAATAATAATAATAATAATAATAATAATAATAATAATAATAATAATAAATCTTTATTTGTACGCCGCCACCATCTCCCCAATGGGACACGACTGGACCTAATGTCAGGGGAAAACTTTTACCTATATGTATGTGTATGTGTGTATATATATGTGTCTGTGTGTGTGTGTCTGTGCATATATACAATGTGTATGTGTGTAGTGTGTATATATACATACACACATATATACATTGTATGTGTATATAATAATAAACTTTAGTACGGTCCATGGACCTACAAGTGTTAAATAGATTTAACACATTTATATATCTACACACACAACACACACCATACGGGTAATATACACCAGCAAACACACAGATATATGTATGTGTATATATACATACACATACATATACATACTGTGTGTGTACATCTATAGATACGTATATGTGTGTAGTGTGTATACACACACACACAGACACACACATATCTGTCTCTTAATATATACACACACTTATGTATATATGTGTGTGCATGCAGTGTTTATCTGTGTATATATTGTATAAGCCTGTCTATGTATATATAGAATACAGTATGTATATATTGTAATCTATATATACATAGACACAATATATGTGTATATAGAATACAGTGTATATATAGAATACAATGTACATATACAGATATAATGTATATGTGTGTGTGTATATATATATATACACACAATATATGTATATACAAAATACAATGTACATGTGTGCACGTAGTGTTTATATATTTCTTCATGTGTGTATATACACACATACAAGCATGTATAATGAGTATATATGTATGTCTGTGTTTATATGTGTGTGTGTGTGGGTAGCTGGAGGGGTTTGGTGGGTACTGACCTTGAGTTTTGGAGTTGGAGTTCTGTTGGAGGGCTTAGAATCTAAGTCCAACCTCCCTTTTGCCGTAAGGGAAAACACCACTGAAGCCCTCCTGACAGATGGTCAGCCTCCGGATCATAGGACAGCTACTGTTTGCCATCATATACAAGGTTTAGAGTCGTAGAATCCTTGAGTTGGGAGGGGCCCCAAAAGGCAGAAAGGGGTTGGACTAGATGGCCTTTTTTAGCCCCTTCCAACTTGAGGACCCTATCTAAACCTTGTATAGGATGGTAAGCAGTAGTTCTCCAAGATAATTCTATTATTCGGAGGCTGGCCATCTATTGGGAGGGTTTAGATGGTGTTTTCCCACATGGCAGAAGGGGGTTGGACTAGATGGCCTTTTGGAGCCCCTTCCAACTTGAGGATCCTATGACTCGATCAATCGTACAAGGCTGGACAAGATTCATAATAGAGATATGGGTTCGAATCCCTGCTAAGCCATGGAGACCCTCTGGGGTGAAGGCCATGGACATCTTATGGGGTAATTCGAGATCATGGAGGTTATTCAAGGCCATGGATACCTTCTGGGGTGGTTTGAGGTTATGGAGACCTTCTGGGGTGATTCGAGATCATCATGGAGATCTTATGGGGTGATTTGAGGTCATAGATTCGAGGTCATTGAGACCTTACAGGGTGATTCAAGGCCATGAAGATCTTATGGGATGACTTGAGGCCATGGAGACCTTATGGGGTGATTGAAGGCCATGGAGACCTTATTGGTTATTCATGACCATGAAGAATGTATAGGGTGATTCGAGGCCATGGAGACCTTAAGTGGTGATTCGATGCCATGGAGACCTTATGGGCTATTCAAAACCACAGAGAACTTATAGGGTAATTCGAGGCCATGGAGACCTTATGGATGATTCAAGACCATGGAGACATTATGGGGTGATTCTAGGCCACGGAAGCCTTATGGAGTGACTGAAGACCATGGAGACCTTATGGGGTCATCCAAGGCCATGGAGACCTTAAGTAGTGGTTCGAGATCATGAAGACCTTATGGGGAGATTCAGGGCCATGGGGACCTTAAGGGGTGATTCGAAGCAACGGAGATCTTATAGGTCTCCATTGCTTAGAATCACCCTTTAAGACCATGGAGACCTTATGGGGTGATTCAAGATCAAGGAGACTTTATGGAGTGATTAAAGTTCATGGAGACCTTCTGGGGTGATTCAAAGCCATTGAGATCTTATGGGATGATTCGAGGTCATGGAGACCTTATGAGGTGATTGAAGGCCATGGAAATCTTAAGGGGTGATTCAAGGCCATGAAGACCTTATGTGATTCGAGGCCATGAAGACCTTCCGGAGTAATCCAAGGCCATGGAGATCTTCTGGGGTGATTGAAGGCTGTGGAGACCTTATGGGGTGATTCAAGGCCAAGAGACCTCATGGGTCTCCATTGCTTAGAATCATCCCTTCAGGCCATGGAGACCTTCTGGGGAAATTCAAGGCCATGGAGACCTTATAGGGTGATTTGAGGCCATGGAGACCTTATGGGTTATTCAAGACCACTGAGAACTTATAGGGTGATTCGAGGCCATGGAGACCTTAAGTGGTGATTTGAGGCCATGGAGAT